TTTGCCCGCCTTTAAGGGAAATTAGTCGAACGGGAGGCGCCGGACTCAAAAGACACCGCCACATTCCTGAGACGCGCGAGGGCAGCCTCCTTAAAGGCAATAGGGTCTAGATTTGGAGCGTTCGCCGAAGAGGAGTACGACAAAATAGCGCCCGTGATTGCCTGCACGCTACCCGCACTCACGGACTCCATACCCGAAAGAAAGAGAGGGGAGCTCGCGGGAGAGGTGACGAGTGAACTACAGGTAGTGGGGAAGGCAGAGCCTCGATTGCCATACAGACATGGGCGCGAAACAACGACAAGACCAAGGCACGGGCAGAGGAACGAGAGAAGAATATAGGGTGGATAAAGCGCCTGTTCACGGCATGGAGGGTGAGCCACACCGAACGTACCGAGCGAAGAGCCGAGCGGAAGGAAGCCGGGGAAGATGACTCCGAGGAGGACGAACCAGTGGAAATTCAGTTGTCAGATGTCACGATGCACCCGAAGGGGACCCCAGCGCCGGCATCATCCGTAGAGGCACGAGTGTTCGAAGAGAGAGTGGACCTCAGCAACGACATGACTTGGAGGCAAATGATCGGAGTGGGAGTTGAAATGTGGTCCTTGCGCGAGGGGAGCTCGATAGACTCGAGGGGCCAGGATACGCCGCGAGGAGGACGGAGTTGCGCCGAAAGGCGAAAGAAGCCGCGAGAACAAGGGACCGGCAGGCGGCGGCGCCGCAGGACGAGGCAGAAGAGAACGACGCGACAGAGGAAGTGACAAGGGAGAGAAAACGACGAGAGTGGGACGACCGCGAGGTGGCATGAAGGTTGCAGCGAGAAGCGGCGAGAGACTGCGAAAAGAGATAGGAAGAGGCAGACTCCCTAGGGTGGGCGACGGCTAGCGCATCACACACCTCTCCTTAAAATCCCTGTGTGGTGGCGGCGTGCCGTCCTCCCATCCCTCCCTTGGGCTGTCTGTCTTCGTTCTTTCTTTTTCGCACATGCGAGGGAGTTTTGTTGTAAAATTCTTTTTCGCTCGGCAGACGAGCAAAAGAGCGAATGGCAGGGGGAGAACTGGACGGTGGAGCTGGGTGTGAGGTGTTGATGACTGCACTCCAAGTGCCGCTCCCAAGTTTTCTTTTATGCGTCAAAAGGTTTGTCGGCGATGCTGCGATGGCGGGAGAGAGAGAACTACGAAACGGTATTCTCAACCCCGTCGACCCCCACCCCCCAGGCTTCGGATTCAAACGCGGCCCGGGCGCGCGCCTCTCCGCCCCCGCGGACCTCGCCCGGCTCGCGCCTCGCGCGCATTTTTGGTGTGTGTGAGAGGGATTATAGTGTGTGTTGTTTTGCGTGTGTCCGAAGGGGCAATCAAGGTTTTACTACACAGCCCGCCAGGACAAGAGTGAATTCTCTCCCACCCCCCGCTATGAGTATGACCATTCCACATCCCCATCGCGAAGTGCCGTCCTGCGAGTGCGACTCGCGGGAAAGAGTGAGTGAACAGAGCGGGGGGAGTGCGGCTCGGCCGCACTGCCTCAGCCAGTCACTCTTTGTTCAGGTACCCCTTCACCCGGCCAGCGATGTCGTCGATCACATGGGCGTACGCTGGCGAACGTATGCGCTTGACGATGGGGTACTTTGCAGCGGCGCGCGCGTCGCCGCTGGCCATGGCGCGGCAGGCCGCCTTCATCCGCGCAAAGATGTCGCCCATGCCGCGCTTCATCACCATGCTGACGATCCACGAGGGCGCCAGCTTCGGGATGGGCTGCGAGCACGAGTACGAGAAGCGCACCGACGTCGGCGAGAGCGGCTCAACCATGACGTCGATCACGGCCTTGACGCGGCCGAGCTTGAAGAGCTTGCCGGCGCTGCTCGGCTTGGGAGGCAGCTCCACCTCGCTGCCCGCGAGCGCGCGCGCGTCCTCCTTCCCGCAATGCCGCACGCACAGCAAAAAGTTGCCGTCCCGCAGGTTGTCGCACCTAGCCCGAAAAGAGCCGACGTCAGCCGCAGGTGGCAAAGGTTGGCTTAAGTTGCGGTTGGCGTCTCGGCGGTCGCACCCAAAGCCCTGGATGCACACGTCCATGATGCCGTACAGCGCAATCTCAAACACGAGGTGGATGATGACCTGCGGAGAGGACAGGTGCGACGGGCTGAGGCGGTCGCATCCCGCCGTCGCATCCCCTGCCCCCCGTCCCCGCCACCGCCGCAGTCCCGCTACCGCCACCATGTCCCCGCCGCCCCCGCCTGTGACTCCGCCCAGGCGCCCGCTGTCCCTGTCGCCACCGAGGGAGGGAGAGAGCCGGGCCGTCACCGACCCGGGCGCGCCTCGGTCGCGCTGTGTTCGCGCACGAAAGCGCCGTGCGAGACGTAGGGGAACCAGCTCGGGTAGAGATCGCCCTCGCGGAAGCAGTAGAGGGTGTGCTCGCACCGGATGTCGTCGAGCTCCGCCTCAACCTTGATGTCGATCATGTTGTTGGGCCCCTCCATCGGCCGGATGCGCGAAGACACCTTGGTGCCATCACTGCCCAGCGTCTCGTCCCATCCCTTGGGGTCGCCGGTGAAGGTGTCGATCGCCTCGCGGCAGACGCGTCCGCGGCTCTCGAGCAGCGCGAGCTCGCCGTCTTTCGCGAGCATCCGCGCGAGGCTCCGCGCTGCGATCTGCTCCTTGCTGGGCCAGCGGATGGCCTCGTTCACCGCAGGGAGCGTCTTGCGGAGCCAGTCCAAGTCCTCGCACGCCTCGAGGTATTTGTTGCGTCTGCACAACTGCCGGCACTCCTCGAGCCGCACAGTCACGTCGACCGAGCGCGGAGCCCGATGCGCAGACTGCTGCCTTCTCCGCGCCGCGGCCCGCCCGTCCGCAGCAGCGTGGTCGGCATGAATCTTTGATAAGATGTTGGCGTTTCGGCGGCGCCAGCGGAGCACGAGCACGAGCACAACAGGCGCCAGCGTGGCGAGGGCCAGCGTGTTAAGCCACAAGCCCGGCGGCGGCGGCGGCGGCGGCGGCGGCGGCGGCGACAGAAATGGTATCCGCATCCCAGTCAGGGCCAGAATTTACTTATTGTCCAATGGGTTCCGCTCCTTCCAGGGGATTACTCGGTCCATGCTACCTCATTGTGCACTGTGCGCGCACGAGGACGTCGTGCGCCGTGCGCATCAGCAGGCGGCGGCGCAGCAGCAGCCGCACCACTCCTCGACCATTGTTGCGCAGCAGCTGCAAGACCTGCACGCTCTGCACGCAAAGCTGGGCGACGAGGCGGTCACGAGCTGCCTGCACCGCTCGTGGGACTTTCCCGCCTTCTTGCCGACTGTGATCAGCATCCTCGGGACCCACAGCCGCTGGCCAAACCTGACCTTCGATGAGACTCTTCTCGTCACCAAGTTTGTCGGCATGGGCTTCCCGGAGGACGAGAGCATCCGTGTCTTGAGTTCGGTCAGCGGCGACCAGGGTAAGGCACTGGAGAAGCTGGAGGCTTCCCACCCGCCTGCCTCGCGCGCGCCTGCGTCTCCATCGGGACCGACGCCGTCTTGTGCGACGCCGACCACGCAGCCCGCACCTCCTCGCGCCTCTGTCCCTGCCAAGCTTTTTAGCCAAAGCAGCTATCTCGCGGCGTACCAGCGCACCGCTCCGCCGGAGCAGGGGTATGAGCTGCTTGCAAAGGTCCACCGCCTCTGCTGCCTCTTTGCTGCAGCCAAGGTCAGAGATGAAGCGGCCGATGTCCGCTCTCGCGCGGCCGCGGCTGCCGACCGCTTCTTCAACGACCTCCAGCGGCAGCTCGACTCGCGCAGTGGCCACCTGGCCGATGTGGGTACGGCGGCAACGCGCATCTGGAGCAGCGCCGTGACGCTGAGGCTCGGTCCGCCTGGCGACCTCATCGGAGAGTATGAGTTCGCCCAGATGCTGAACGAGGTGCTGCGAGGAGACCGGGCGAGCGAGCTGCTGGACTGCGCCGTGGTAGTGGCGCGAGCAATCAACCGCCACTGCGTCCAGGGCACCTACACAGGCTGGCCAGACGGCCCTCTTGGGATAGGGAACCGGCAGAGCGACAAGAAGGACACCACGTTCAGGGGCGGGGCGCTGCGGCGAGACTTGATCGACTGGTTTGCTCCGGGCAAAAAGTACCGTACAAACATGTTTGTCGCGAGCTCCTTCCGGCGTGCGGCTGCGGAGAAGTTCGAGTGCCGCGCGGGGGCGAGCGTGGACAAGGACCCGGTGAGGTGGGTCTTCAAGTTCGAGCACGAGCGGTGCCTGCACGTCAACTTCCTGCGTCCGGGCGCGGAGTCGACATGCACAAACGAGCTCGAGTTTCTGCTCACGCCCGGCTCGGTCTTGGTGGTCGAATCCGTGCAGCGCAGCAGCAGCCTGCACGACGCGCCGCACGAGATCCGCGTCCGCGTCTCGCCCGACAACGCGCTCGAACCACTCGATCTGCCCGTTGCGCCTTGGTGTTAGGCGGCAAATGGTGTTGTGAATTGGGTGTCTCGTATCGAAACTGTAAAATCGACTGGAAATAAAAGAAAAACTTCAACTCCCCATCTCCCTCCAACTCAGCGGAGCGCCGCTCCACAACACACACGTCTAGGGAATTCTGAGGCAGGTCCCTGCGGCCTCATGAGCGAGGACCCATTCGACGAGGTCAAGGCGGACGTCGCCGCCAGCTTAAACTCGGTGGAGGCTGGGCTGCAGAGGTGGCGCGGGCAGAGGGACGCGTCGACGTCCAAGCGGCTGCTCTCGGAGCTCGAGACCATCGACGAGGACCTCTCAGACATGGAGGCGGCCATCGCGGCGGCAGCGGCGGACCCGGAGCGCTTCCAGATCTCCGAGGCGACGCTCGCCGCGCGGCGTGCGTTCGTTCGCTCCACCTCGAGCTCCGTCGCGGCGGCGCGCCAGGAGCTCGCGCGTGGGCGGGGCGGCGGCGCGGGTGCGAGCGGCAGCAAGCGCGTCGCCGGCGAGGAGCGGGTGGGGTTGCTCTCTGGCAGCGGCGGCGGCGGCGCGGAGACGCCCGGGCGAGGCGGCGGCGGCGGCGGGAGCAGTCGGAGGCAGGCAGGCATGGACCACGACAATGCCCAGATCGCCAGCGCTCATGCGGAGCTGCAGCAGGCATTCCGACGCCATCGCCGCTGGCCCTCTGCCCTCGCCGCCGCCGTGCAGCCGCCTCACCCCACCCTCTGCGCGGCGCGCGCAGGTGCAGCTCGCCGAGCAAGACGAGACGCTCGGGCGCCCACCTGTGCCTCCCTTCTGCTCGCGCCGTGGCCGCGTGCGCTGGACCTGCGCTGGACATGCCCCCATAGGCAGCTCGGCGAGGCGGTCGGCCGGCTGAAGCAGCTGGGCGGCGCGATGGGGCAGGAGCTGGCGAGCCAGAACGCGATGCTGTCCGACCTCGAGGCGGGCCTCGACGAGACGGCCTCAGGCATGGACGCGCTCAAGGGCAAGATGAGAGCCCTGCTGCCAAAGCACGAGCCGAAGCAAAAGATGGCCATCTGCTTCCTCTCCGTCCTCCTCATCATCCTCGTGATCCTAGTCCTCAGCTAGTCGGGTCGGCGGTTTCCTCTGGCTGGCGGGTGGGATCGATGAGACCACATGACGCAACTTTGAGAGTTGAGACCTGAGACGCTGTGTGCGATTGCCGACTAGGTCCAGCCCTGGGTGGCGCAAGATCTGAGGTTTTGTGACAATCCTCAGATCCGTGTTTTTCTCGTTGTTTTGTCGCTCGCTCCGCTCGCCACCTCACGCTCCGTAGCCCGGCCATGGCCAGTACCCCGCGTCTCAGTGAGACGCGTGGTACCATCCAACTCCGGTCGACGGGCTCGAATGCGCTCAGCCTCAGGAGGGACAAAACCGCGCGAATTCTGCACGCCTCGCTGCACCGCTGGCTTGACTGAATCAGGCAGCAGCAGGCTGCTGCTGCTGCCACAGCAGCAGTCTGCTGCGGCCCTAATACGCAAGTTGATGACTAGCAGCACTGCCGGGGGCATTCGAGCCGCCACAGCCGGTGTGCGGCTGTGCACTGCCACCTGCCCGCGGCTACGCACAATGTGCGCTCGCATTGGATGAGCCCTGCTGATGGACCTGCATCGCCTAGCTGCACGAGAGCAATGCCGCAGGCAGTGGCCGTGGCATACACTGCGAGCACACTTGGTGCAGCTGCGAGGTGCAGCAAGAGCACGTCGTTCCTGCCTCTGATGCCACTCTCGCGGCTTGCAGCGCGTCACTCGCGCATGCTCTCCAGGAGCTATGGCGGGCGCGTGTGTGGGGCTGTAGCCTGTGTTTGGCCGGTTCTGACCCGTTTACTATCAGTATCATGTCCGGGCCACAAAAAATCGCACACGGGTAGCGGCTCAGGGGCCCAGTAAGTCGCGGAATCGCCAAATGTCACAACCTGCGCCACCCAGGGCTGGACCTAGTCTGCCAGAGCAGCAATGGCCGCGCACGCATACTCTGCGCGCTTGGAGTGCGAGTAATCGTGTTGTATGCGCGCTTGGCGGCGAACGCCGTTTATGTTACGCACTCCCACTCGCACAACTGCAACTCTCTCTCTGCCACTCTGCCAGAGTCCAGACTCTCTCTACTCTCTCTGGCAGAGTACGCTCTGCCTCTGGTCGCAAGGGTGTGTTTCCAGAGTGTACACAAGCATTCCCTGAATCGTCACCTATCTTGTCTCAACGCCGGCGCTGTGCCGTTTCCGCCCGCAGCGAGCAGTATCGTCGCATTCCGCAGGGCCGCAGGGTGCGCCTCTGCTATCGGAAGGAGCTCACGATACTCGACAGTCCGTTTCGCACTCAAGGCTGCCGGCTGCCGCATGCTCCAGTGAAGGAACAGGAGCAGTAGAAAGAGCAAGGCTGCGAGCAGTGGGGCGCGGGATCTCAGGGTGGTCCGTTTAGCGGCGGGCACTGCGGGCAGCGACGCGCGCACCTAGAGCGGTTGGCGTCTGGTTCTTGCGCTCCTTCTTGAACGGGCTGCGAGGATGATAGGCGCGTCAGCGGGCGCAACGGGCGGCGCGGGGCGGGCGGGCCGGGCGGCACTTGTTCTTGATGTAGAAGTCGGCGGCCACGACGCGGGGAGCTTCCACGTCGGCCCCGGCCATGAACCGATCGCAGAACTAGCGAAAAGAACTACGTTTGTCGTGCATAAAAAGAAAGGGGAGCGGCGCTGCTAGTATGAGACGGACCCAGGTCGTAGTTCTCTTCCTCCATCTTGCGCTTCGGCGGTTAGTGGTGCAGTACCGCCGAGAAACCCTTCGGGTCGCTCCTCATCGCAAACACTGTCAGCAAACCTGTCGAAGTTCACACAAAAACACAACCCCGAAGTTCACCCGAGGCACTGAAAAAGTAAAACGTGTACGCGTTGCTCGACGACGTCGACCCTTCCGCCGCCAGCCTCTCGCTCACACAGACCACACCTTGCACAGCCCTCCGTATGGCCCGCACGGAGGCCAACCACATCAAGGCCAACGAGGGCGTCGCGCCGTCGGGCAAGAAGGGCAAGCGGAAGCCGCTCGCGCCGGCTGGCGCCGACGCCGCCGACCCGCCCGAGAAGAAGAAGAAGCTCAAGAAGCTCAAGGCCGAGCGAGCAGCGTCAGCAGCGGCGGCTTCGGACGAGGCGGCGGCGGCGGCGTCCGCCGCGGCGGCGGCGGACTCGGACGCGGTCCAGGCCGAGGCGGCTGCCGCCGAGGCGGAGGAGCCGGCGTCCTCTTTCCTCGGCGTGCGCTTCGACTCGCTCAAGCTGCTCGATGAGACGCAGAGCGCGCTGCGCGACATGGGTTTCGAAACGCTCACCGAGATCCAGGCGCGCTCCATCCCGCCGCTGCTGCGCGGGCTCGACGTGCTCGCGCAGGCAAAGACCGGCTCCGGAAAGACGCTCTCCTTTTTGATCCCGGCGGTGGAGCTGCTGGCGCGCGCGCGCTGGCTGCCGCGGAACGGGACCGGGATGGTCTGCATCTCGCCGACGCGCGAGCTCGCCCTCCAGATCTACGGCGTGCTGCGCGAGCTGTGCGCACACCACCGCCAGACGCACGGGCTGGTGATTGGCGGTGCAACACAGCCGGCGCAGAGACGCACGGCAGCCGACCCCTCCTGCTCACGCCTCCCTCCGTGTGTCGACGTCGGCAGGCGCCAACCGGAGGGCGGAGGCGGAGAAGCTGGCCAAGGGCGTGTGCCACCTCGTCGCGACGCCGGGCCGCTTCCTCGACCACCTCAGCGGCACCAAGGGCTTTGTGGTGACCAACCTGCAGATGCTCGTCATCGACGAGGTGGACCGCACCCCCGAGCCGGGCGCCGAAGGGTGCGGGCAGCGTCGCCTCACGGCTCTGCGTGTGCGCAGGCGGACCGCATCCTCGAGATTGGCTTCGAGGAGGACATGCGCGCCATCATCAAGCTGCTGCCGACGCAGGGGCGGCAGACAGCACTCTTCTCGGCGACGCAGACCAAGAACGTCGCCGACCTCGCGCGGCTCGCCATCCAAAACAAGCCGGTCTACGTGGAGGCCCTCCCGCCCCCCGTTATCGCGCGCGCGCTCTCCCTCTTCCTCTTCCCCCCTCTCTCTCGCTCTCGCTCTCTCTCTCCCTCTCTCCCTCTCTCCCTCTCTCGCCGACAGCGACCGCACGCTGTGGCGTCCGCCGAGGGTCGGCCCCATCCCTTGCGCAGGCGCAGTCCAAGCAAGACCACGCCACCGTCGCCACCCTCGAGCAAGGCGCCACCGCGCTTGTCCCGCTGCCGCTCCAACCCGCCGCCCCGCATACCGCCCCCGCCTTTCGAGGATGCGTATCTGCGTTATTTTCTCGAACCGGGGCTGCGTCGGCCACGGCCTGCGCCACGGATGTGGAAGACAAACGCTGAGAATCGCGCGGGAGCCCCCCCCTGCCCCCCCTTTTGTTGCGCCCCTACGCCCTGGCTGCCGATACGCGCCCCCGCGGCCGCCAACTCTCACCTCCGCGCCGCTCGAACAACCTTAGGCTTCGTCGTCTGCGAGTCTGCGAAACGTGCGAGCGCCACGTCGCGCCCGCCCCTGCCCTGGCGTGCCTTCGTCCGACAGCGCACCGCGCCTGCCTCCAGGCTTCCTGCTGCTCTTCACCTTTTTGAAGAAGAATCTCAAGAAGAAGGTCATCGTCTTCTTCTCCTCCTGTGCGCCCCGCCGCGCCGGAGCGCACCGAGTGCGGTGCGCAGCGCGCTGAGGGGCGAATGCTGCGGCGCCGTAGGCAACTCGGTCAAGTACCACGCGGAGCTCTTCAACTACATCGACCTGCCCGTGCTCGACCTGCACGGTGACCAGAAGCAAAACAAGCGGACGGCAACCTTCTTCGAGTTTTGCTCGGCCGAGAGCGGTGCGCCGCGCTGGCGTTTCCCCCCCCCCCCCCCTCTCCACCGCGGCACCGGCGTCGGCCTGAAATTACAGGCATCCTCTTCTCGACGGACGTCGCGGCGCGTGGGCTAGACATCCCGGCGGTGGATTGGCGCGCGCACAGAGGAGGGGTCGGAGGGGGTTGGGACAGAGCTCGTCACTCCCGCGCGCTGCGGCGACTCGTAGGATTGTGCAGTACGACCCGCCCGACGAGCCAAAGGCGTACATCCACCGCGTCGGCCGTACGGCGCGCGCGGGCGGCCAGGGCCGTGCGCTGCTCTTCCTGTTGCCGCAGGTCTGCCGGCGCCCCCCCGCCACTTGCTCCGCGGCTCCCTGGCCCAGGCTGTGTACCGCCATCCACCGTGTGTCCGCGCCCGCAGGAGATGGCCTTCCTCAAGTACCTCAAGCAGGCCAACGTGCCGGTCAGCGAGTTTGAGTTCCCGGCGTCCAAGCTCGCAAACGTCGAGGCGCAGCTCCAGAAGCTCGTCGCCAAGAACTACTACCTGCACAAGTCGGCGCGCGACGCGTACCGCTCCTACATCCACTCGTACAACTCGCACTCCTTCAAGGACGTGTTTGACGTCTACGCGCTCGACCTCGCCGGCGTCGCAAAGTCATTTGGCTTCGAGAACCCGCCGAAGGTGACGCTGATGCTTAAGGCCAACCCCAAGGAGCCGCAGCGGCGCAAGGGCAAGGCCGGCCGCTTCTCGGAGGACAACCCCTACGGGTCGCGGCCAAAGCAGGAAGACCGGCGGCAATTCTCGCGGTAGCGTGGGTCATGTTGTGCGCTCCTCTGGTAGGGTGGGTGTACGAGAGATGTCGAGGGAGTAAAACGTACTCGCCGTTGAAGACCGACGACTGCACACGTGCCACACCCACAGCCGTCGCGCTACGGCTTAGTAGTCGACGGGTCGGCTAGAGTGTAGCCGTAAAGCCGTATATATACTTACTCTGGCCTAGTGCTTAGATAAGGACCAGGGCCGAGCGTTTTTGATCTCTCGGTCAGTGGGCGCCCGCCCGCCGCCTCTGAGGGGGTTGGGCCCCCTAGTCTGAAAACAAAAACAAACTCGAAAACAGCCAAAATCAGCCTGCGAGAGAGGCACTGCGCGCCGCTGAGACCTTAATGTGGGGGATGTGTGCCGACACCAATACTGATTAAAACCTGGAAATCCTTGTTCAAAGCCGACCCTAAGCGCCATCCTTCCTGCTCCCACCTGATGCTGCTTCCCCGCGCCGCCTCCTTGGCCCCCTTGGGCGTATTTTCTACTCCCAGTGGGGGGCCTGGGCCCCCGGGCCACCTCTTGCTTTTTGTTTTCTGTTTTTCAAAACGCCCGCCCGCCCGCCACACCGAGGCGGCTCGGCCCAGGTCGCGGGCGACATGTTCCGCGCGGTGAATAACATCGACGTGCCCAAGACGGTCCCGCTCGTCCTCTCGTACACGTGCATCATGCTCGCCATGTACGTGGCGCGCATGGACGCGATGCAGGCACACGCGCTTGTCGGGCATGTCAAGGTCGTCGACGCGTACGACACGACCGCCGGTGTGAACATGCCGGGATCGTACGCCGCTGGCGTCGACTCCAAGGCGGGCATGAACATGTTCCCGACGCCCGACTTCTTCCCTCACGGGTGGCGCGAGCCCGAGAAGCCCATCTTGTTGAAGACCGACGACCGCGCAGCCGTCTAGTCTACGGCCACACACACACACACATAGTGTCCTTACCACCCCTGGACTGCATCTGCGCAGTTTCGTACCGCTGCGGCGCGGTTTTGCAAAAACCGTTCTGCAGCGGCGCGGTTTTGCCCTTCACCCGCAGCCTGGATTGATAGTCATTGTGGGTGTGGGGGCCGCGGGCCAGGACTTTTGTTTGAACAAAGTTTTGACAGTACATTTCTGTCGGGCCTTGGAACAGCTTGTGAGTGGTCACTGAAGACCTTCACAGTTGGTGGCGGCGGGGCAACGATCCCCGGGACATTACGACAACATGTCGTCGACGGACAAGCTGGTGATTCTTCAGATCCTCAGCCTCGATGCGAGGATGGGGGGCTGTTGAAGACCGACGACCGCGCAGCCGTCTAGTCTACGGCCACACACACACACACATAGTGTCCTTACCACCCCTGGACTGCATCTGCGCAGTTTCGTACCGCTGCGGCGCGGTTTTGCAAAAACCGTTCTGCAGCGGCGCGGTTTTGCCCTTCACCCGCAGCCTGGATTGATAGTCATTGTGGGTGTGGGGGCCGCGGGCCAGGACTTTTGTTTGAACAAAGTTTTGACAGTACATTTCTGTCGGGCCTTGGAACAGCTTGTGAGTGGTCACTGAAGACCTTAGCGCAACCAGTAGGAGGCCCAGTAGGAGGCCCGCGCCTGCCCCCGTGCCGCCGGGTGCAACCTGTCCTATACGAGAGAGGAATCCCTGGGACCCTGTCGTGTGGGTGAACCCTGCCCAGCCCCCCTCCGTGTCGCGATGCGCTCCCGCGCACGGCGAAGGTGGCGTTGGCGATGGTGGCCGCGTACACCCAGGCGCAGCCCCAGTACTGGTAGAGCTGGGCGGCGCCATGCCCCCCTGCGCGCGCCATCATCTCCCGCACGATCCTGCCGCAGGTAGCGTTCGCACGCTCGCACGCCCCATTCTGCCACGGCTCGTAGGGGCAGCTGTTGCGGAGGGTGATGCCGTACTTGAGGCAGAGCTCGCGCACGGCGCTGGAGTTGAGGACGACCTCGTTGTCGCAGAACGCAACTCCTCCGCGGAGCGTGTGGCCGTCCTTTCCCTCGTTCTCGGCGAAGTACTTGCGCAGGTAGGCAGGCGTCTGGCCCTTGGTCTGCAGGATGTACGGCGTGATGGTGCTGGTGTGCTCGTCGACGACCATGAGTGCGTAGCGGTGCCCATCGACGCCTACCACACCCTTGGGCGACCAGAGGTCGTGTTGAAGACCGACGACCGCGCAGCCGTCTAGTCGACGGCCACACACACACACATAGTGTCCTTACCACCCCTGGACTGCATCTGCGCAGTTTCGTACCGCTGCGGCGCGGTTTTGCAAAAACCGTTCTGCAGCGGCGCGGTTTTGCCCTTCACCCGCAGCCTGGATTGATAGTCATTGTGGGTGTGGGGGCCGCGGGCCAGGACTTTTGTTTGAACAAAGTTTTGACAGTACATTTCTGTCGGGCCTTGGAACAGCTTGTGAGTGGTCACTGAAGACCTTCACAGTTGGTGGCGGCGGGGCAACGATCCCCGGGACATTACGACAACATGTCGTCGACGGACAAGCTGGTGATTCTTCAGATCCTCAGCCTCGATGCGAGGATGGGGGGCTGTTGAAGACCGACGACCGCGCAGCCGTCTAGTCTACGGCCACACACACACACACATAGTGTCCTTACCACCCCTGGACTGCATCTGCGCAGTTTCGTACCGCTGCGGCGCGGTTTTGCAAAAACCGTTCTGCAGCGGCGCGGTTTTGCCCTTCACCCGCAGCCTTGGCACCTTCTGGCGGCACGCCCTGTGCATCTCCGGCGACGCGCTAAAGGACCTCAGCAAGATCGCGGACGGCGTGCCAGACCTCTCCAAGATGGACCGCAACGAGGGCCTCGACGACGCCGCGCTGCAGGCGAACGCCAAGTACCACGCGCGGCGCAGCACCGGCCGGCCACTGGCCACTCGCTTCGGGGGCTCGTCGCACTACGACCTCTGGTCGCCCAAGGGTGTGGTAGGCGTCGATGGGCACCGCTACGCACTCATGGTCGTCGACGAGCACACCAGCACCATCACGCCGTACATCCTGCAGACCAAGGGCCAGACGCCTGCCTACCTGCGCAAGTACTTCGCCGAGAACGAGGGAAAGGACGGCCACACGTTCCGCGGAGGGGTTGCGTTCTGCGACAACGAGGTCGTCCTCAACTCCAGCGCCGTGCGCGAGCTCTGCCTCAAGTACGGCATCACCCTCCGCAACAGCTGCCCCTACGAGCCGTGGCAGAATGGGGCGTGCGAGCGTGCGAACGCTACCTGCGGCAGGATCGTGCGGGAGATGATGGCGCGCGCAGGGGGGCATGGCGCCACCCAGCTCTACCAGTACTGGGGCTACGCCTGGGTGTACGCGGCCACCATCGCCAACGCCACCTTCGCCGTGCGCGACACCGGCAAGTCAGCGTACGAGCTCAAGACCGGGCAGCGCCCCAAGATGAACATGTTCTACCCGTGGGCGTGCAAGATGATCGTCAAGTCGCCCCCCCACCTTGTGGCGAACGGTGTCTCACCCACGGGCGAGATGGCGGCCTTCCTCGGCATCTCGCGCACTTCGCCCGGCTGGAAGTACGTCATCACCGAGGGTCCGCGCAAGGGGCACATCGGCACCACCACGCAGGCGACCTTCAGCGTCAACGAGCTCTGGAACGGCATCGAGTACCGTGCTCCTACCTCCGACCTCACCCCGACGGACATCGAGGGCGCGTGGCCGGAGCTTGTGACCGCGGACGAGATGCCCGACGAGTCGGACAAGGCTACGCTCGACAACAACGTAACCCGCGGCGACTCCGTCTTCCTCCCCACACTGTGTGCTCTACGCAGTGGCTGAAAAGTTAATCAATTGTTTTTTTAGCCCCTACGCCCTCGGGACGCGCACCGCGCTACTGCTCCCGGGCCAGGGGTGTAAGGGAACACACTAGGGCACACCAGGGCCGGTCTAGCCAGCCCTATCCCGCCCACAGCCTTCGAAAACGCACAAAAATCGCACCGCCGGAGCCGCGGCGAATCGCCGCTGGAGGCCGCGTGTCGCGCCACCGACGGCCGCACGTCGAACCCCCGGCTCCGCGCCGCTGCTCCACCGCGCCGGCCATCCAGCGCGCACCCCCCAAGCTGCTGGTGCCCTCTTAAAGGGCCACAAAGCCTCGAAAGGAGCCGTCGACCGTCACCTAACAGAGGGGTGTCGGCCCCGGGCTCGCCGCTCTTGCGAGCGGTCGGCGGCGTCTAGGGCGGAGCCAGCGGTAGTAGCGGTGGTGCCGGCGTGTGCCGTGACGGAGGGGGTGGCGGCGGGGCGCGGACGGCGGGGTGCGGCGGCCGAGGCTCGAGCGGGGGGGGCGGCAGCGGTGGCACCATCGTCGGCGGAAGTTCGACCTGGCGGGTGAGAGGTGGGAGGCGCCGAGGGCGGAACCGCTGCGGACGCGGCGAGGTCGGAGGCGCAGAGGCCGAGGCGGCACGGGCGGCGGCGCCGACGGCACTGCAGCGCCGGTGCAGCGCCGGAGAGGGCGGCTGAGGTGGCGCGGACGGCGGTGGCGAGAAGGCGGGCGGAAGCTTAGACGGGTGGTGGTGGAGGAGGAGGCGGCAAAATCACGGGCGAAGCGCCGAGGGGGGCGGCGGAGGCGGTGCACCAGCGGTGGGGAGGGTAGCTACGGCGGCGGGGTAGCGGCCAGCATCGCCAGGGGGGGCGGGAGGTGCCGCGGGTGCCGCACGGGCGGCGGCGGCCGTGCCGGTGATGGCGCCTGGTAAAGGGGAGGCGGGTCTGAGAGGCGGACGCGCGGGCGGGAGAGGTGAGTGAGACCACGCACGCGGCTGCGGTCGCGTCGCGCCGTGCGGGAGGGGCGCCGGCGCAACCACGGCGGCAGCCGAGGCGGCTCATCGCGCCGTACAGAGGCTCCGGGGAGGCGCGCGGTGCGGCGGCGCACCGGTGGATCGCCGCGGCAAAGTGTAGCCGAGGCGGGGCGGCAAGCGCCCGAGCCGGCCGTTGGGGCGGCGCCGACGCCGCCCAGGATGCCGTGGGCCGATGGTGCGGAGAAGCGGCCGCTCCCCCTCTCGGGGCGGCCGCAAAACCTGTGCAGCAGCAGCACGCCGAGAACGCGCCTGCGGGGGTGAGGTGCCTAATGTGAGATTGCGGCCGCCGCCGCGGTTACTTTCTCCCTCCAAAGTGCATGTGCCTTGGGAAGGGGGTGCAAGCACACCTCCGCTACTCGGAATATAGGGTCATGCGACTCGATCGCGAGCGAGCGCGGGTAGACGGTGGCGTCCGCAAAGCGACGGCTCGCGCGCGACCGCGGGCTTGCGCGTCGGCCGTGCGCGGGCAGAGGGCGCGGAGGGGCGAGCGGTGGCGGTCGCTCGCCCGGGCAACCCGCGCGCGGGCGGCGCGCCGCAGCGGGGAGCGCCCAGGGGCGCGGCGCGTGCTGGCTGCGAGCGGGCGCTTGACATCGTTTTTGAGGAGAGATAGCCCAAAAATATACCCCCGAATAGAGCACACAGTGCCACCGACAACCACGCCGGGGGGCTGACCCTCGACGAGGAGGTGGTGATCATGCCAGACCCGGCCAACGACGGCAACGTCAACCCGCCCGCAGCGGGTGCGCCTGCGCCGCGCACCACCCGCAGCCGCGGCGGCGTCTCGACGGGCGAGTACAACAACATGCTCAACGCCCGCCTCGCCGCCAATGCCACGCCCTTCGGCATCTGGGCGGCTGCGGCGGCCGCATCCCCATCGTCGTCTGTCTACCGCAACACCACGGACCAGTGCGTCGCGTACATGTCGAGCGTGGACGGCCAGAAGATGCCCAGTGCATCGGCGACCTCATCTGCAAGGGGGTCCCTGTCGCCAAGGTGCTCGAGGAACTCCCCGACCGCATCGACCACGAGACGAAGGTGCGCATGGCCCAGTCCTCGTACAAGAAGGTGTGCGCCAAGTCCCCCGGCCGCACCCTCCCGCACGACCCCTTCAAGAAGTCGGACTCCACCGCGACCGACCACGAGGAGGTGCGGGCGGCGCTGGCCGACTCTGTCACCCGCACGTTCGACCCGGACGGCATCGTCGGCGGCTTTGTCGCTGGCGTCGGCACCGACCAGGTCGAGGACACCTTCCCCGACTCCAACCCCACCGACACGCCCGCCATCCTCAAGGCCAAGACGGCGGCGCGCAATGCGGCGGAGGCACGGGCGCGCGGCGGGCTGTGGGTCAAGTTCACCTCGTTCGTCACCGCGCTGCCTCGCCCGTACATCGGCGCTTCCATCCTACTCGTCCTGCTCGCGTGCCTCATCCCGGTCTACATGGGCTCGCCTGCCTCGATCGGCACGCCTGTGGCCGACGCCGTGGACGAGCCCTCGAACATGGGCGTGATGGTCGAGTCCGTCACCGCACTACCCCTCGAGCTGTCCACCGGGCCGGCGACTGGCTCAGGTGGCGGAGCAGAGTACGCCATCGAGGAGGACCCGCTCCAGCCAATCTACCGCAAGGTCGCGGGCGACATGTTCCGCGCGGTGAATGACATCGACGTGCCCAAGACGGTCCCGCTCGTCCTCTCGTACACGTGCATCATGCTCGCCATGTACGTGGCGCGCATGGACGCGATGCAGGCACACGCGCTTGTCGGGCATGTCAAGGTCGTCGACGCGTACGACACGACCGCCGGTGTGAACATGCCGGGATCGTATGCCGCTGGCGTCGACTCCAAGGCGGGCATGAACATGTTCCCGACGCCCGACTACTTCCCTCACGGGTGGCGCGAGCCCGAGAAGCCCATCTACATCCGCTGCGCAAACAACGACTACCTCAAGGCGAAGGGCGTCGGCACCGCGTACGCCTTCGCGCTGGCTGACCCGACCAAGCCGCAGGACACCAAGGTTGTGAACACCGAGTGGGTGAACGCGCTGTACGCGCCCGGACTCGCCATGCCTCTCGTCAGCGTCAAGGAGTGCAAGGCGCAGAACATCGTGTTGAAGACCGACGACCGCGCAGCCGTCTAGTCTACGGCCACACACACACACATAGTGTCCTTACCACTCAGGGACTGCACCTGCGCAGTTTCGTACCGCTGCGGCGCGGTTTTGCAAAAACCGTTCTGCAGCGGCGCGGTTTTGCCCTTCACCCGCAGCCTGGATTGATAGTCATTGTGGGTGTGGGGGCCGCGGGCCAGGACTTTTGTTTGAACAAAGTTTTGACAGTACATTTCTGTCGGGCCTTGGAACAGCTTGTGAGTGGTCACTGAAGACCTTCACAGTTGGTAGCGGCGGGGCAACGATCCCCGGGACATTACGACAACATGTCGTCGACGGACAAGCTGGTGATTCCGGCCTACAAACAGGGCTCCGAGCGGGAGTTCAACGAGTGGTTCCGCAACCTGCGGACCGCGGCGAAGCAACACAAGTACCTCCTCGACATCATCGAGGTGGGCACCATCCGGCCGGGCGCGGAGCGCGAGGCCGAGGCGGTCGCGCTGCACGTGCGCTACAAGAACGTCGGCAATGCGGACGGCCTCATCCCGGCCAAGGTCGACAAGTTCTTCGAGGACCTGTCGAAGACTCTGTCGCGCCAACTCTACGGTGCGCTGCAGAACGCCGTCAAGGACGACGACACGCTGGCCGAGATGTTGGCGGACGAGGACGCCGACCACTACGACGACATCAAGAAGGGCATCGCGGCGATCAAGTCGCTCATCGAGTCGGAGGACACGAACTCCAAGAACGTGCGCACGAAGGCGCTGCGCGCGGATCTCGAGAAGGCGTACTCCCCCGACGCTCTCAAGGACCTCACGTCCGCGAGCCTCGCCAAGTTCAAGACGGGCATCGAGCTGGCGAACAAGTTCCTCAAGGGCTCCCAGTGGCACCTCCCCGACGAGGTGATCGAGGAATACATCCTCGACGCGATCGCCGCCAAGGGGGCCACGCTCGGCGCAAACATGCGCGTGCAGATCGGCATGCAGCGCCAACTCGCCGCGCAATCGGGCAAGGCGTACGGCCTCAAGGCGTCCACGCTCGCGATGCAGGGCATCCTCGACCAAGACAACGCGGACCGCGCCAACGAGGCCAAGGCGGCTGCGCAGGCGGCGTTCGAGGCGGAGATTGCCTCGCAAGGCGTGCTCAAGGAGAAGCTCGCGGCCGCCGAGTCCCAGGTCGCCGCTCTCCAGGCGCAGATCAAGTCCGACAAGGGCGGCGGGGACCGCGGCGGCCGCGCAGCCGCTGGGCGCAAGCCGTGCCCCCACTGCAATGGGTTGCACGGTGGCAAGTGCATCGGCGACCTCATCTGCAAGGGGGTCCCTGTCGCCAAGGTGCTCGAGGAACTCCCCGACCGCATCGACCACGAGACGAAGGTGCGCATGGCCCAGTCCTCGTACAAGAAGGTGTGCGCCAAGTCCCCCGGCCGCACCCTCCCGCACGACCCCTTCAAGAAGTCGGACTCCACCGCGACCGACCACGAGGAGGTGCGGGCGGCGCTGGCCGACTCTGTCACCCGCACGTTCGACCCGGACGGCATCGTCGGCGGCTTTGTCGCTGGCGTCGACACCGACCAGGTCGAGGACACCTTCCCCGACTCCAACCCCACCGACACGCCCGCCATCCTCAAGGCCAAGACGGCGGCGCGCAATGCGGCGGAGGCACGGGCGCGCGGCGGGCTGTGGGTCAAGTTCTGTGAAGGTCTTCAGTGACCACTCACAAGCTGTTCCAAGGCCCGACAGAAATGTACTGTCAAAACTTTGTTCAAACAAAAGTCCTGGCCCGCGGCCCCCACACCCACAATGACTATCAATCCAGGCTGCGGGTGAAGGGCAAAACCGCGCCGCTGCAGAACGGTTTTTGCAAAACCGCGCCGCAGCGGTACGAAACTGCGCAGATGCAGTCCAGGGGTGGTAAGGACACTATGTGTGTGTGTGTGGCCGTAGACTAGACGGCTGCGCGGTCGTCGGTCTTCAACAGCCCCCCATCCTCGCATCGGGTAGCGAGGCTGAGGATCTGAAGAAGCTAGACGACTCCTACATCTCCTACTATCGCGCGCACAATTGCGCAGCCTCCTCAAGGGTGGAGGACGAACATACAAGTGACTCGGGGAGCTCCAGGAGCGCCCATACTGCCGGTTGTCGACTACATTTGATGAAGGGGAAGTCGGCGTTTCCCCTCTGTGCCGTCCTAGGCGGTGTCGTTCATGATCTCCTTGCGGAACGACTCGAACTCCTTGCGCGGGAGCGGCTTGGTGAAGAAGTCGGCGAAGTTCTTGAGGCTCTCGACGTACTCGACCTTGACCTCCCCGGACTCGACGAGCTCGCGAATCTTGAGCTCCTTGCGCAGGATGTGCTTCGTCTTGTCGTGCATGACCGGGTCCTCGGCGACGCGCAGCGCGGCCGTGTTGTCGATCTTGATGATGGTCGGGCCCTTGGGCTTGTAGCCGAGCGACGCGAGGAGCGAGCGCAGGTGGACCGCCTCGCAAGCCGCCAGCGTGCCGGCAGAGATCTCGGCCTCGAATGTCGAGAGGGAGATGTGACCCTGCTTCTTGGAGAAGTACGAGACGATCGCGGTGCCGATCTTGAAGGCGCAGCCGGAGGTGCTCTGGCGGTGCACCAGTTCGCGTC